ATAATGTCTTTACTACTTTATTTACAAGTTTTATAGTTTTAAGAAATTGAATAAGAAATAGTGCTCGTAGTAATGTTGAACAAATGTGGGAAACGAAATTCTGACTTGATAGTGTAACTGTGGGTGGGATCTTTTCTTAGAAGGTAAAATCAATAAACATATTCTCAGAAGTAAAATGTAATCATTGAGTCTGGCCTGTGTGGCTCAGTGGTTGGGCGTCGACCCATGCGCCAAGAGGCCGCTGATTTAATTCCCAGTCAGGGCACATGCCCAGGCTGTGGGCCTGATCCCCAGTGAGGGGCATGCAGGAGGCGGCCAATCGATGTTCTCTCTCATCGGTGTTTCTATCTCTCTCCTTTCACTTTCTCTCTCTCTCTCTCTCTAATATATATAATATATATATATTAGAGAGAGAGAGAGAGAGACAGAGAGAGAGATACAAAATCATTGAATAGTATCTTCTAAATGCTCTTTGTCACAGTATCATCTATGTACACATAAAAAATGGTCGGTTTGGCTCAGCGGTTGGAGCATCGGCCTGAGGACCAGAGAGTCCCAGGTTCAGTTTCCGCTAGGGGCACGTACCAAAAAATGAAAGAAAGAAAGAAAGAAAGAAAGAAAGAAAGAGGTGGGGAGGGAGGGAGGGAGGGAGGAAGGAAGGAAGGGAGGAAGGAAGAGGAAGGAAGGAAGGGAGGAAGAGATATTGTGTGCTGCCTTGGCTGGTTAGCTCAGTGGTTAGAGTGTCACCCCACAGACCAGAGTTGTGGGTTTGATTCCAGTCAAGGGCATGTACCTTCTTTGCCAGAGGCAACCAATTGATGTATCTCTCTTACATTGATGTTTGTCTCTCTCTCTCTCTCTCTCTCTCTCTGTCTCTCTCTCTCTCTCTCTCGCCCTCCCACTCTATCTGAAGAAAAATGGAAAAATATCCTCTGGTGAGGATTAAAAAGAGAAAAAAGATATTGTGTTCTATACGGAAGTTAGATACAGAAGATTGGTAATGAGATTGTGTAAATCCACACTTGTTAGGGAAACTTTAGTTCGGGTCAATGCCTAGAGAGTAATAGGCATCAGAAGTCCAAAGAAGTGGAACTAGATTCATGTCACAACTATTTATTGAATGCTTACAATATACTAGCTACTACACTGCTTCTGCCCTTGGGACGTTTATAAACATCCAAGGGACACAGACTTACACACTGACAGTTAAAGAGAATACAATAAAAGCCTTATTAGGATTATGCCCAGGCTGCTACTGAAATGTATCATAAATTCCTATAATTTAAAATTACAAATTTGTTTTATTCTAACATAAACAAAATTAGTTTTACTGTTTGGGTAAGAAAACCTAAAGTTGTTAAGGGCTCGTGTTAAGTGTTAAGGGTTAACTTACAGTCATGACTTATCAAATATATATACAGTCAAGTCCCGTCTTATAGAACCTGTGGTATAGAACCTGTGGTATTTACCTGTGGTAAATAGGATAAATCTTGGTACAATTACAATTTAAAACCTGAGCGATTCTCTTTTCTATTTTTAATCCTCTTAATGACATCATTTATTGTCTACTGGAAATTGATTTAGGAAATCATGTTAGTCCACTAAGCACTTCAGATAAGGTGATTTCATGAAACATTCCAAGATTATCGCAGGGAATTGCTTTCGTATGCCATAAAAGAAGCAGAAAGAAGCAGAGTGTGGCCTGCTGAGGAGTTCACAGTCGTACAGCTCCTCCCACTGCAGCACATAAGTCACAGTTACAGTGAACTCAGGTTATCACTCCCACACTGAGAGCCTCGCAGCCGTCACACACCCTGGGCTTGTGCTGACACTGGATGTGTGTCTCTCAGTCAATGATGAGGGTATCGGAACCCGTACTGGACATGGACATGGCAAATTACAGTGAAGTTTTGGACCCAACGTATACAACTTTGGAGTTTGAAACTATGCAGATTCTGTATAATTCAAATGGTGAGTTCTCATCCGCTTGTAAATACTCTTTTAAAAATAAGTGCAGTGGGAGAAGTAAAGCAGAGAGCTTCCCAGGTGGTAGCTCTAGGTTTTAATGCTGGAGAATTCGGGGCTTGCTTCTGAAAGCCACAAATCTGAACTTTTGCAGTTCATCCCCAAATTTAAATTAATAATGCGATGCCCATTTTACGTTTGAGATAGAAAAAGCCTAGTTATGTGGAATGAAGTAACCTCAGAATTCTGTCCTGGGCCAGTTAGGTAAAAAGAGTTACTTTGTTTACTGTAAATCACAGTAATAAGTAACGTTGGCTGATTGGTTGGCTATAAAGTATATTTTCTATGCAATATTTAAAATGACATATGGGACGGAGTTTCTATGGGGCGCCGGGGAGTTTTTCTGGTTGCCCTTGCTTCATTATTCCAGTTCTCAATCGCTGCTGATGAGAAATTGCATTGAAAACTACTACCGAGGTTTTGCATGGAACACAAATATGAAAGGAAATACAGGTTTGTATTATAACCCTACTTTATAGGCTAATGTTTAGCCTTAGAAGCTCTTGGTATTCATCTACTGTAACATTTTAACTTTAAATAAGGCATGAGTTGTTTAAGACTCAGGTCTTTTTATAACACAGTTTACTATTGACTTTAAATTTATTTTTTAAGTAAAAATATTGTCCAAGGTAAGTTATAATTGATAGAACTTCTAAAATCTAGTAATCATGTATAGTTTGAAGAATGTGTGGTGTGTGTGTGTGTGTGTGTGTTTAGTTCAGTATTGAGAATGTACACTTGTGATATTTTAATGTTCTATGTTGTATTAGCAGTAGAACAATTTTTAAAAACTGTCAGAAGATGAATTCTGAAATTTTAGCACAAAGAGTTAAAATGAACCTATAGTGAAAATCTTAGGATGTCACTATGTTGATTCCTTATCTTTAGATTTGATTAGAGATATTTAATGGAGTATTATTTATGAGCTAGAATGGGGAGGAAGGGGGTGAGTAGGGGGAAGGGGAATAACATCTGTAATACTTGCAACAATAAAGATAAAATTTTAAAAAGACTATAGATTGCTAAATAGTAGAGACAGGCATACCATAAATATTTACTAAAACAACTGACTTTCCTAAACATTGTCTAACTTGTTTTTTTCTAATAATGTCATTAATAATATATATGACATCAAACTTAAAGCAAAGTTGGTGGTTTTTTGTATTTTCATATAATCTTCCAGAATGCAGTCAATTCCAAATACTTCTAACTGCCATATTTCTAATATCTATTTTGTTTGTTACCAAAAGAAAAATTCTACATTTAAGTTCTGTAATATTACATGGTTAACCTTAAGCATATTCACATTATTTTTTTAACTTGATGAAATTATACATAATAGTATCTGTCTACTCAGAAGTATTAGTAAGTAGAATATATGTGTTGTCACAGAATATATTTAGGACATAACAACCATTGATATTATCTTTGGTTATATTAGAGATATAACAATGAATTGTTATTATGTTACATAATTTTATAAATTAAAATTTAAAATTACTACCTTATATATTCAGTATTTTTTGAGTACATACATTCTCTGACATCACGAGGTTTATATTCTACAAACAGATGGATAATAAATGGGTAGACCAGTCCGGCTGATGTGGCTCAGTGGTTGGGCATCAACATCTACACCAAGAGGTCGCTAGTTTGATCCCCAGTCAGGACACAGGCCCAGTAGTGGGCCAAATCCCAGGGTGGGGGGACATGCAGGAGGTGGCAGTCAATGTTCGCTCTCATCGATGTTTCTCTCTCTCTCTCCCTCTCCCTTGCTCTCTGTCTCTAACATCAATAAAGAAAAAAAAATAAATGAATAAAAAAAATGGGCAGACTAGTACAAAATACAAGTTTAGACAATGAAGCAGCAATTAAAAAAAAACTAAGCAAAGTTCTAGGTTGTACTTGAAGGGCAGGTGGGAAGTGACTCTTTGGGAGGTATGTTCAGAGAATGTTTCACAGAAAATGAGAGATTGGAGCAGAAATTGGATAACCAGCTAGAAGACCTTTTTGATGGAGAACTTACCTTCCAGGCAGAAGGAATAGCAAGTGTAACGGCTCTGAGATAGAAACAGACTTAAGGGGAAAACGAGGCCACTTGCTCGTGGACAGCGAACAGGATAAAAACTAGTGCTGGATAATGGGATGGAGAGGTGGGAGGTGGGCTCTATCCACGGCGCTTCACAGGCCACGGTGGGTGTGACCTGGATCTAAGGATCGGCTGCAGAAGGCTCCTAAGATGTAGTTTCTTCCACCAAGAGCACTGTGGGGCTTTGGAATAATAGAGTAGGGAACGAGGGTGAATGGAGAGAAGTTAGCCAGGAGACTGTTGGAGTGATCCAGAGGAAAGAGTATGGTCGATTGAGTAAGAGGGGCCATAGTGAAAGGGACAAAAGGGGTGGATTCTCTGTGTATTTTAAATATAAACTTTACTATGGGATTGATATGAGTGACGAAAGAGAGAATCCAGGGGAGACTCTCAGGTTACTGGCCCTGGGTACTGGACAAACTATTGACTGATTCCGAAGGCTGAAGGAAGAACACGTTCTTGGGGAAAAATCAAGCAGTTCTGCTTTTATACATTAATTTACAGTTTCTTTTAAACTGCAAAGTGAAGTTGTTCAGTGGATATTTGGGCATTTTGGACTGATCCCAATGCAAGACATTAGGGCTAGAGGTACCATTTGGGGATTTTAATCATACAGATAATGTTTAATGTCATGGGACTGGATAAGCTTCTCTTGAGAAAGAGTGTAGTTGGGGGACGGAGCCCTGTAGTGTCCCAAAGTTTAATTGTCAAAAATCTGAGAGGGGAGATTGGAATGGAGACGGGCAGAGGCAGCCAGTGTTAAGGAAGCAGTGTTGTGGGACCGTCAAGGAATGGATTGTTAAGAGCCTGAATACTTAGTAGAGCGATTCAACTAGAAAGACTCAATACTAACTCAAACTGTACTCTCTCCCCTCTATTTCAACAGATAGTTCTGCCCCAGAGACGACAAGTATGAATACCACAGACAACGGTGTCAACTGTCTGTGTGCCATCTGTGGGGACAGAGCCACAGGGAAACACTATGGAGCGTCCAGCTGTGACGGGTGCAAGGGCTTCTTCAGACGCAGCATACGCAAGAGTCATGTGTATTCATGCAGGTACCTGACGCGCTCTTTTTACGAAAGATACCTTTAGAGGTGTTTCAAATGGCATGCAAGAAGGGAATAACATTCCGAGCTTTGCTATTTCTGTAACTCTGAGAACACAGTCTGTAACCTACATTAAGACTAAGGATGTGTGGGTGTATATGCAGATTGCATTCACAGAGAGGGTTCTCTTTCATGAAACATTCAGATTTATACAACGTAAATAAAAAAATCCCCATATTTATCATTCGACTTAGACCAATATAGTTGGAGCCCAGTAGACACATCCTTTATGGCTCTCTCTCTCCCCTCTGTCCCGGAGGTGGCTGCTGTCTGAAATTTACTGTCTTTTCCTGGTGTCTCTTTATTGTTTTACCACATGTTCATATACCAATAGACATACTTAAATGTGTATTTAAATAGTTTCACAATTTATGTTCTTTTCGGAATATTGATTTTCTTTTTAGCATCATTACCTCTTGAGTCTTTTAAAACAAAACTATAGAAGTGCTGATGTTTTTGTATAGCTTTTTGAAGTTAACGAATGAACTTAAATTTTGAGTCCTAAAATTGTAAATGTATTTCTTATGCCACGATTTTGCCATTGAATTTAATGTTTTATCTAAAAACATATTTAACTATATTGTATGTGTTCTACATTTCTATTAGGATGGATTTTCTTTTATACTTTTGACTTTTATATCTAGTCAACATCATAGCACAAATGAGGGTTAGATATTTCACAGTGAGTGTTCCGAATGACAGTTCTTGAATGCAGATTATTTCTAGGAAGAAGTTAATTCTTTCTTAGTGTGATGCCATTTGATTTCTAGGAGTGTGGAAGTTAATATATAACTCTCCAAATATTTAACTAGTATTCTTTAGTAATTTTTCCAGGAGAGCTTAGTAGGTCAAAAAATATAAATAATTCATTTTAACACTTTTTTTTTTGTAAACAAAAACTAAAATTTGATGGGTCTTGCTTTTTATACATCAAAACTACATAGATAAAATGTAGACCAAGTAGATTTCCAAAATTATCAACAAAAATAAATACAAAATAACCAGTAAACAATGTTTTTGAGTCATGTGTTCTATTAAAGGTGAAATACATAGATGTGAAAAATAACAATCCAAACAACTAAATCCATCAAAAACATTGAAGAACTGGAGACATTCAGTACAAAGGGCTTTCAAGACTTCAACCCTCCCTGTCTCGGAAAAGTGGGAAAGGAGTAGTCAACTTTTGGAAATTTAAAAACCAGTCCATCAACATGCAGAGTCGAATCAAACCTCCCATCATGAATACTGCTACCACCTTGTCCTCCTTTGCCTATTTTACTCTTAAGCAAAGGCTACAATTTTCCATTTTGAAAACTGTTATTTTGATGCAAGTTTAGGATTATAAAGGGTTTTTGAAACTCACATTTTGCTCAAAGTTTTCTATTTTCTTAGACTTACTAATTTTATTTCCACTCTAACTATTCCATCACTCTGAAGTTGGACTTTCCCTTTCAAAGCATCTTAGATTACTGTCTTAATACTTCTCAAATTATGTCATTTACTAAGGTTATTGGTAAACTTGTATGCGTACCCTATTAGGTTATAGTTTCTTTGAATGGAGGAGATAGATAATATTCCTCTGTTTAATCCTGCCACCAGGATCTTATACATAGTAGGTGCTTAATAAATGTTTATTCAATTTTTGCATTAACCTAATGGAAATTTAATGTGTTCTCCTGTTGTGATTATTGGTAATCTAGTTCTCTCTCCTGATTCTCCCCTGTCATTTATTCTCAAATGAACAATGCTTTATCCTCACTCAGAAAGTATGTCTCTCTCTTCCACCTCAATCCAGCTATAGTAAGCATTATGTTCATTCCATTTTAAGTGGACATTTATATTTTTTAGAAGAAATATCTTTTTATATAGATCACAAAAGATATTATTTGATTCTCATCATTAATAATCAATCACAAGTTATCAGGGATATAAAGATGGGTAATTTTAGGCCAGAATTTTGAAGAAATGTTATTGCTTACTATATGTTTAATTTTGCCCCAAGTCTAAAGTACTTTTACACAACAGCCTTTCACAGCAAGTCCTCCCCACCATACAACTGTAAATTAACTAGGGGTGGAGGTTATTCGATAGCATTTCTTAGTCCCATCAAGAGTGAATGGTAGCCCTGGGAATCAAACTCAGGTCTAATTCCACAGACTGTCCTCTTTTTTTTTTTTTTTTTTAAGTGTACACCTTGGTTTTTTAGTGTGTCCACAGAGTTGCAACCATCATGGCAGTCAGTTAGAACATTTTCATCATCCTATGAAGCAACCTCACATCCTTTAGTAGTCACTACCCTTTCCCAAACTTCTTCCCACCAACGTGAGGCAACCACTCATCTACTTTCTGTGTCTATAGATGTTCCTCTTTTGGACATTTGATATAAGTGAAATTATATAATATGTGGCCTTTCGTGTCTGATTTCTTCCATTTAGTGCATGGGTCGACACTCAACCAGTGAGCCACGACGGCTGGGCTGACTTCTTCCATTTCAAATAGTGTGTTCAAGGTTCATCCAAGTTGTAGCATGTATCAGTATTCCATTCCTGTTCATTGTTATTTATAACAGCCATTGTGTGGGGGAACCAAATTTTACATGTCTATTCATCAACTGATTAGCATTTGGGTCGTCCTCACCTTTTGGCTATTATGAATAATGCTGCTATGGACACTTGTGTACAAGTGTTTGTGTGCACAGGTGGTTTCTTTCTTTTGAGTAGATTCTAGGGGTGGAATTGCCAGATCCTATGGCAACTCTATGTTTAAATTCTTAAAAAACTGCCAAACTCTCTTCCTAAGCAGCTGCAGCATTTTATAGTATGACCAGCTATGTGTGAGGGTTCCACTTTTTCTGCATCCTCATCAACACTTGTGTTGTCTGTTTTGTTTTTCCCTAATTAGAGCCATTTTGGTGGCTAGGAGGTGGCACCTAATTGTGCAGAGATGACTCAAAGCTATTCTTGACATGTAATTTGCATCTATTTAGAATACACTGTAATAGGATGTGAGACACATTTAAAATAAATCAAATAATATTTATGAGAAAAACATTGAAGTTCAGAGGAATGAGGAATGAAGTTCTGATATAGTCTCTATTACACCAAAATAATTTAGCAACAAGCAAATAAAATTGTTTTCCAAAGATTTTTAAACTAAGTTTGGCTTTCATGACTCATGATAGAATGGCCATACACACTGGCCAAAAATGAGATGTCATTCAGTTTTGTTTTATTGTAAAGACTTCATGAAAGGTGAGGCTTATATTACCATATATGTGCTGACCACGGATGGTTTTGTGTTGAAAACGATAGCAGGAGAAAAGTTACAAATGTTTACAGTGGCTGGGAAAATCAGTTAATTGTTCTTATACATTCTTTCTATTGGGCCAAATTTGGCCACACTTATTTAAAGTCTACTTGTCTATTTCTTTGCTCTTTTCATAAATAATTTTCTGTAAAACTAATGTATCTTTTTTTTTTTTAATATTACAGGTTCAGTCGACAATGTGTTGTTGACAAGGACAAAAGGAATCAATGTAGATATTGTCGATTAAGAAAGTGTTTTAGAGCAGGAATGAAAAAAGAAGGTAATAACATATAACATACTAATGAGTTTTAACATTATTGATGAAAGGTGTTATACACACATTCTCACTTCATCATAACCTTTTCACATGAGTTCTGAATTTTCTTAGTGAAGAATTTATGGTTCCTTGAGTTTAAGAATTTATCCAAGGACACTGACACCCAGCCAGTAAACAGTGTAACCTACTCTTTTTTTAAAAAAAATATTTTCATTGATTTTTGAGAGAGAGAGGAAGGTAGAAAGAGAAACATTGATGTGAGAGCGAAACATCATCGATTGGCTGCCTCCTGTATGCCCCCTACTGGGGATTGAGCCCAAAACCTGGGCATGTGCTCTGACTGAGAATCGAACTGGGACCTCTCAGTCCATGGGATGATGCTCAATCTACTGAGCCACACCAGCCGGGCATGTAGCCCACTATCTGACGACTGTCTGATTCCAGACATCATCCTCTTTACTACTCTGTTATACCTGGCAACAAAATTGTCTAAATAACATTCCAACATCCTGTTCCAAAGGTAGATGACAAAATCTATTAATAGGTTGACATTATAACTGTATTTTAAACACATTTTTAATGTCAATAAGATTGACTGTCTTTATTTCATAAAAATTAACTGAACATTGACTTTACATGCATTCATTTATTTATTTAACAAATATTTATTGAGTACTGCTACTTTCTAAATACAGTTCTGGGTACTGAGGTTTTAGTAGTTAATGTAATAGAATATTCCTCCTACTTGGGGTGCTTAAAGTCTATTAAGGGACAGAGACATAGATGAGATACTTTAGTGTGAACAGTTTCATTTTGAACATATTAAATAATCTGATTATATTATCCTACATTCTAAACATGAATGTAGAATATTTAGAAAAGAGTTGAACATGTTTAAATGTTCGGCAGGGAATAGTTACTACAAGATTTATGCTTATCAGTTTTTCCACATTCTTGTGCCGTTTTATGCAAAGAGATATTTTTCTGAACTATTTCATGAACTATAAAGAAATTAATTGAATCAAATCTCTATTGTTCAGAAATGTAAGATATATCAAACCTATCTTGAGTATAGCTAGTTTTTTTTTCCCCTTGTCACTCAATATTTTAAAGAGACAGAAGTTCCATTAGTTTTATGCAGGTTGCTAGTCTTAAAAAAGAAGGCAAATGAAAGTTCACAAAGTTAAAGGAGAGGCACTTCCCTGTTTAAAAATGATTCATTTTTAACAGAGCCAATGTGGCTGTGTTGTTTGGGCAATGTCCCCTGTACCAAAATGTTTTTGGTTGGATTCCCAGTCAGGGCACATGCCCGGGTTGCAGGCTCCATCCCCTGCAGGGAGTGTGCAGGAGGCAGCCTGATGTCTCCTCTTCCTCTCTCTCTAAAAATCAATGAACTATTTAAAAAATGACTATGCCTAATGGCATATTAGGTAGTTTATGGGATTGATTACATACTTTGCTAATCATTTTCATCTATTTCTACTTGCAGATCACCAACCTTTATTTCCTTAAAGAGTTTTAACCTTTTTTATATGACTTATTTTCAAAAATAGTGACATTTTATCATCTACTATTCATAGAGTAATACATTAGTATTTTCTAAATAGATGAGGAAGTAACTTTTGGGGTTTAAAGTGGTTACATTTCCCTTATTTACAGTAATAGTAACATATCAAGTTTAAGGTGGAAATGTATATAAACATGGTTTTATGTTGAAAATGATAGCAGTGGGAAGGTTACAAATGTTCACAATATCTTTTAGCATTTTTCTAGAGATTGATCATGTAAGTTCAATTCATAAAAGCATAGCTTATGTTTTAATTTTTATCTCTGCAGATGTATTTTATTAGTTTAGGCTGAAAATCAATGACAATTTCTGTTTAAAAAAAAAGAAAAGAAAAGAGGGAGACAGTAAGCTACCAGTAAATGTGATTATGATTTTAAAATAAAATATTAATGATGTATTTAAAAACTACTCACCCTTAAAGGCAAAATGTTCAATATTTTCTCTTCCAAATTAATGAGTTGATAGTTAATAGTATGTTTTGGGTAGATAGATTTCGGGATAAAAATTAGTGACTATTTTAAATAAAAGAATAACTGTATTAAAAAATTCTGCTAGTTTAGTGTTTTATGTCAAGAAGAACAGGGTAGAGCAATAATTTAGGGGCTACAGAACTTGTTTTCAGTCTTTTTGGTTCACAGAGATCATTTTACCTCCTAAATTCTGAAATCCAATTTTGACATCTGACTTAGTAATTCTTCATGTGACAAATACACAAGTTAACCCCTTCTTACTACTCTCCCTTATATTTAAAATTTAGTTTTCGGCAATGAATTTGGGGATACACATTACGTTTTCTGCTCTTCTCTTAGAAGCCTTTCCTGCCCTGCGGGGGTTTCTCCACCTCTCCTGAATGTCGAATTTCTGACCTCAGACTTCTCAGGGTGGGCCTTTGGCTTGATTCATGTTTGTAAACGTTCCTAAGAACACTGTTTCCTAAGAGGTTATAAGATTGCAATCTCACAATCACCATAGCTAAAATAAATTTATTTTCCATTTTTGCTCATGGCTTAGAAGAATAAGAAAATAGAGGTTTCAAACTCTATGACTCATAGCTCTGACAGTGTCCACTCTTAATTTTGACCTGGCCAGCCCCACAGATGATACTCTTCCTCCAGTTACTTATGGTTTCAGTAACCTTAAGAGACTGGAAGCCATCTCACTGCAATACAGCAAGGCTGCGCTGGCTGCCCCCCCCCCCCCTTCTAAAATGCAGGCCATCATAGTCCAAAAAAGACACTATTTTTTTTTTTTTTTAGCTCAGGTGACAAGCCTGGCTGTTTATCATTTATTTATTTATTAATATTATTTTTTAAAGAGTTGTATTGTTTTTTTTAAATTTATTTATTTATTTTAGAGAAAGAGGAAGGAGAAGGAGAGAGAGATAGAAACATCAATGAGAGAGAACGTCGATTGGCTGCCCCCTGCATGCCCGGCACTGGGGATTTGGCCCACAACCTGGGCATGTGCCCTCATCGGGAATCGAACTGGCGACCTCTTGGTTCATGGGTCCACGCTCAGCCACCGAGCCACACTGGCCGGGCTGTTTATCATTGAAAAGAGATGCATCATGAACCGTATATTCAGCCACACTCCTCCCCAACCCCAGGTCCTTCGAAACATCCCTTTTCATACTTTATTTTGTGACACATCGTGAAGAGAACCGGCCAGTAATCCCTGATTTTTCTCCCCCAGCTGTGCAAAATGAGCGCGATCGAATCAGCACCAGAAGAAGCACCTTTGACGGCAGCAACATCCCCTCCATTAACACGCTGGCGCAGGCAGAGCTTCGGTCTCGCCAGGTACCGCCCGCCCCGGTGCCCCCCTGCTCCGCTCGAACCCAGGGGCTGTTTCGGCGGGATGCGACAATAATCCAAGTTCTTTCCGATGTGCTCGTGGCTAAGAGAAATCGCGCGTATGCACATTCGAGAGTTTTACTTTGAAAATAATAGTTGGACTGTTGACTTCATGCTGACTTTTCCTGGGCAAGTTCTTGTTTATGACATGGGACGATGAAATTGCATTTCAGTGGAAGATAAAGAAAGCATTTGTTTACAAGGTTCAGTTTAAATACTTCATGTGTGGCACAGTGCTCTGGGGCAGTATCTCATTTTATTGACTGGATGTATAAAATCAATTATCACAACATTTGGGGAGTTTGACTGAGACTGATAATTAGAGCTTCCTTCCTCAAAATGACTTTTGGACTCACCTTGGCACCTGCTTTGGAAACAGGTATTTAAGGGAAGAGCCAAAATTAAAAAAAAAAAAAAAAAAAAATCAAACAAAAAAAGACAGAGGAGAGAGTTTAAGTTTCTAGAATGAGAGGATCAGTTCTAAAGTTTAAAAATGCAGGTCATTATATACATAAATATAAATGACTTAAGAATCAAATAAAGAAACCCTTGGCAGACCATTTATTTTAGCATTGCTCCTATTAGAAATGTTAGTGATATTTTTCTATCCTAAAGCAAATGATGAAATAGCTAACTATTAATCCAGTCCCAGAATGAGTCAGTGAAGCTACTTTCATTTTTGATAACACAAGGGTAATAGGATGAGGTCGACTCCACCATTATCATCATCATTACTTGCAGATTGCTTGATGGTCCTATAAAGCGTTTAGAGAATGGCTTCAAGGGGAGGCGTGAGGCCCACACACACTACGAAAGGCACGTACCCATGTTCGAAAATTTCACAGAAGTTTCTAAGAACTTTCAGAAAGTGATTTCTTCAGTAGCAGAACATTTTAACACCACTTATATTTTATCTAGTTCAAAACTATATATAGTCTTAAAAAATGTCATTGTAGATTAAGCTTTTCAATGTTGCTGAGTCAAAGGTTGGTTTCTTAATTTTATACTGGAAAATATTTCATTTCTCAATTAAAAAATATTTAGTGTATTTCAAGACACTGTGATAATGATAGTGCCACTTCAATGGTGTTCACTTATTGCAGTCATCGAAAAAAGAAGAGTATTGGTTTTGTATTATTTTAAATGAGAGATTAATATAATGTCCTCGTTCATGCTAGATTTCTGCCTCAAGCCCTGGTGTGAGCACGGACATCAATGTTAAGAAAATTGCAAGCATTGGTGATGTCTGTGAATCTATGAAACAGCAGCTCTTGGTCTTGGTGGAATGGGCAAAATATATTCCTGCCTTCTGCGAGTTACCGCTGGATGATCAGGTAGAAGTTACCGAAATTCTCAATGCTTTAAAAAATGTGTTTTCTGAACTTTGCCCAGTTTTTGTGTTCTTCTACTTATATTTATTAGATTTACCATATTTGACAAAGGTGAAATTATCTCATGAGAAAAAGATAGGTTTCCTTGTTCATTCACCTCCTTTTCTTTATCAAGAGGCCTAGCTGTTTAACTTCTATTTAGGTCTTGGGTATTTATTGATTGAATAAAGTTAAGCAAGACACTTCTAGGAGTTTAAAAAGCTTAAGTGAGTAACTGCCACTGTTAAAAAAAACAATGGGTTGGCAGGACAAATGTCTGGGAGGCAAATGGCACGAGATTGTCTGGGTGTTTCTTGGGGGAGCCTGTAAGATTTCTCAGAAATGCCAGGCCACCCCCAGACAGGTGTGTTGATGTCTTTGTGGGCACTTTGTGCAGTTAACATAAAATTTTGCCATGAATATTGTCAATTTTATTCTAGAATTACTGTATAAAAATGATAAGTCTGGCAAAAACGTCTGTAGACTTGTGCTCTGAAATCTCCAGAAAAACCAAGAAAATTCAGATATAATGATCTTTTCCTAATACATATATTGCTGTCCTTTGTCATACATACATGAAGACATTTTAATTAATAATTAAGAACTTTAATTTCTTAATTAGTATAGGAAGATTAGATTATTAGTTTCAGATTCATTTTGAACTCTTCCATCTAAGTAGTGTATAATATCTTGTAGATTCAAATAATTTGAAAATTTCCAGTTCTTGCACATTGAATACACCATGATCTGTATTATACCCAGAATGAATATCTTACATTCTCTGAGCAGCGGTTTTTTATCATGGATGCAGAAAAACAAGGAAACAATAAAAGGGAAAGGTGCAACTATCTAAAATCCAAAGAAGGACAAAATATTTATACAATCAGAAAAATAAAAGGGATCAAAGGAAGTTGAGTTATATTTCTAGGAAAGCATTTTACTTGGGACAAAAAAAAATATTCTTGTAAAATCTGAAATCATTCTCAAAATATTCTGTAACTGCCTTCCTGTTATGAGTCATGGTGATTGACATATCATAAAGATAGCTTGGCTCAGAAGGTTATTTCAGAGTGAATAATGCTAAATTGCTAAAACCTACTTGTCTCACCCTGAGCCATATAAGTAGGGTTATGTTATTTATCAGTTTTATATTTTTACTATCACTCCTCTTTAAAAGTTGCTGACTTAAATATGAAGATAGTGATTTAAAAATTGGGAAATTGCCCAGTTTGGCTCAGTGGTTAGAGCGGCAGCACACAGACTGAAGGGTCTTGGGTTAGATCCCAGTCAAGGGCACGTACCTGGGTTGCAGGTTTGATCTCTGGCCCCTTTCAGGGTCATGCAGGAGGCAACCAATCAATGTCTCTCTCACATCGATGTTTCTCTCTCTACCTCCTTTCCACTCTATCTAAAAATCAATTGAAAAATATCCTTGGGTGAGAATTAACAACAACAACAACTGGGAAATTAAATTCCAGTAACCTGTCAAAAACAGATTTTATTTACCAGCTCAGACTTTAATATTAGCAACATCACATCAACAGCCATGGCTCGCGGAATGTCTATTATAGATACAGCAATGGGGAGTTAGCTTTCAGTTACACTGTACATTAGATTATTTTACTTAATGCTCTCAGGAGCTCTGTGTCATAAATTCTATAATCCCCACTTAACAGTTTTTAAAACTGAACACTAAGTTAGTTAAATTCACTCAGTAAATTCATCCAAAAATATTTATTAGGGCTACTACTCAGTTTTAGCAACTGAGAGCATCCGGCAGTAAAAGTTCAGGTTGGGTCACTTTTCTCATAAAGGTTCCATTCTATTTGTGAAAGGACAGACAATAAAAGATATACAGATTATGAGCAAGTTGATTCTAGGTGGGGACACATTCTATAAAATGAGGCAGGATGAATTCTTGGACAATGACTAGGGGTGAAGTGGTAACAGATATTTTAAATTGGGGATCAGAGAAGATTTTTCCTGAGACCTGAATGATAAAAGGCTAGCTGTACCAAGGTCAAGGAGAAAGAAAGCATTCTGGGTACAGGAACAGCATGTCCAAGGACCCGGAGACATGCAGGAATAATGGGCCCAGAGAAAAGCCAACCAGGAAAGTTGCGAGGTCTTGGTTCAGCAGTTTGCATGTCATTTTAAGGACAGTAAGAAACCAGTGAAGAGTTGTCAGCAGAGGACTGATATTAAGTGATTATCGTTTTACAAATACCACCTCGGAAGCTCTGCAAGAAGGACGCAGGATGAGGACCCAGGCAGAAAGGAGGAATACCTGCTCGGCCCTTGGCGTATATTGTGGCGGCTGGGGGAAGAAAGGCAAAGACTTGGGCTGGGGTGGTGTAGGATTCGTTGGGCCTTTAGAGAGGAATCAAACTGGAGTCCTGTTTTTGTCATACACAAGCATGTTGGGTGATGATAAAGATGTTGGAGAAGCAGTGATTTTCAGCAAGCAGTGGGGTGCACACTCGGAGCTCAGTTCAGAGCTGAGCGCAAGAACTTATGGGTTCAGTCTTGAGTGTGTTAGAAGCCGGATTCCCCATTCTCATTTCACCATGTCACAGGTCCTCTTGTGCTCTTGTTTACTGTGTGTAAGAGCTTGTGTTTTACACATATTTTCTCATTTAGTCCTCACATTCACAGTTTGAAATTTTAATCACTGTCTCCACGAGGTAGATGAAAACAAATGAGTCCCAAACATAAATGGTCGGTTTATTCAAGGTCAAGAGGGTAGGAAGTGGCCACGCCAGAATTTGAACTCTGATTTGTGTGAGTTTATTTCATTCCAGAACACTTAATTGCTCTGTTGGGTCTTTTTGTTTGTTTGCTGACATTGTTTTGACTTGTTAGTTTTAGAGATTTTGACAAGTAAAACTCTATGACATTCTAAAAGAGAAAAATAGAAGGTTTAATGATGGTAACTATCTATGAATATTATAGTTTGTTAAAACAAAGAAAAAATGTCTTAGGCTTAAAGAACACTGAGTTAATCAGACTCATATGATACCATCTTTTAATCATCATAATTTATAATTAATTGTTCGACTTGGACTTTTTCATGAAGGTGGCCTTGCTGAGAGCCCATGCAGGGGAACATTTACTGCTTGGAGCTACGAAGAGATCCATGGTGTATAAAGATATTTTGCTTTTGGGTAAGTTTTTTTTTTTTTTAATTTAAGAAGAAATTATGCATGCTTCATTCTTACACAGGATCCATTCTGTATGTATCCAGCATTCCTAGACATGGACAAATTGTGCTCTCACCTCACAGATTGGATTTAATCGATTATATCTTTACTGGGGTCCTATTGTTTATTTGCTTTGATTACAGGGAAGTTCAGACTGTGTTGAGATGTTCAGGGTATATTATGGTTTAAAAATAAAAAAAAAGATGTTGCTCAATGAACAGAATCTTGAGGTCTATTTAAACCATCAGGATGAAGAATTCATGATTTGTGTGACTGTCTTAGGGGGTGTCAGCCCTGTGTCACTCTCCTCTGTCTCTACCTAATAATTATAATATGTGTCATTGGATACATTTTTAATGAGCACATGTATTTCCTGTGATGTCATCACCCATAATAGGCTACAAAATCCAAAGTTAAAAAAAAATTTGGTGACAGTGTCTGAAAAATTCTAATTCAGTAGTGGAGCCAGAAGAGGCAGAAGCAAGGTCTTGGGTGGAAGAGAAGGGGGGTGGGAAAGATAGGATATAAAGGAAAAGCTTTTGTCCTCATTAAGGCTCCAATTTCTCCCCCCAATTAATTTATAAAATTAGGTTTCCTATAGAAAGAATTAAGATCCCTGTAATGTTTATTAACTTCACGTCTCTCTGGCTTGTGTGAAATGATGACTGAATTGTTTATTCTATTTATGTGATAGATATTTTGTCCCAAAACATGAATAAATTGAACGTAATGTAATGATATCTAACATTTATCGAGCACTTACTATATAACATGCATTGCTCTGAGTACTTTTTTATATGTATATCAACACCATCTCAATTAATCATCACAGTAATCCTATGGGGTAGGTATTATTATTTGCAGCCCATTTTTCAAGTGATAAAATGGAGGCCGAGAAAGTTTACCTGAGGTCACAAGGTTACTGAGGGATGGAGCCAGGATTCTAAACCACAAAATATGACAGCTGAGACCATGCTCTCAAATTCTATTAAATATTCTGTTGCATTTAGAAGTCCCTACAGTACCATTCTCATTATAGATGTGGATACAATATATCTTCTTAGGCTTGTTAAAATGTGTCTCAATCATCGTTACACCTGCATGTACCTACACCACTAAAGGATGGTGTTTTTAATCCACTGTAAACCAGAAAGATCCTTTAGGTTTTTAATTAAGCTCATTAATGAGTAAGATACTAGTAGAAAACTGACATAGTGGAAAGCTAATCATTATACTTTGCTTCTCCCTTGTCAATTATTAGCTTGTTTATTAGCCTGTACTTGAACGTTATCACGGAGGCTGTTAAAATGCATGTGATCATATTATCAATGTTATTGATCCTTTAAGTGTTCTTAAGTTTTTCTAACTTAACACTTCTGAGAAAGGAAGTACTATTATTATTTCTGTAAGGGAAGGCCATTTAAAACCTTGGTTTGTAAAAATTTAAACAATATCTGACAATATGAGGGGAAGGATGACCATTATTTTCCCCCCCTAGGAAACAACTACATTATTCAGCGCAACAGCTGTGAGGTGGAGATCAGCCGAGTGGCCAACCGGGTTCTAGATGAGCTGGTCCGGCCGTTTCAGGAAATCCAGATTGATGACAACGAATACGCTTGTTTGAAGGCAATTGTATTCTTTGATCCAGGTTAGTTTCTAGAGACCCACAAAAAAATAATTAAAATGAAAATAAAACTACTTTTTAATATTGGAATCTGTACTGTCGCACGCTGCTAAGATCCGATCTTTGGCTGCCCTCTTCGTTCCTTTATCAGACGCAAAAGGGCTGAGCAACCCGGTGAAGATTAAGAACATGCGGTTCCAAGTGCAGCTGAGCCTGGAGGACTACATCAACGACCGGCAGTACGACTCCCGCGGCCGCTTCGGAGAGCTGCTCCTGCTGCTACCCACGCTGCAGAGCATCACCTGGCAGATGATCGAGCAGATTCAGTTCGTCAAGCTCTTCGGGATGGTAAAAATCGACAACCTGCTCCAGGAGATGTTACTGGGTGGTGAGTCCATTTGAGAATCTCTGTTTTATTTGTCAGCACCCCACTATGTACTTTAGCGTAGGTTTGACAATTTTTTTCTCTGTCCGTGACAGAATGAACTTAATTTTTTACATTTAGAAAGTCTGCAGTACCCATGGCATGGGGACAAAATACTTGACCATGTTCAAATCCCTAGTCTTCCTAGCCTCAGCCATCTAGCCCCACACAGCCCCTCGGTTTCCAGATCCTTCAAATGTGGTAAATAGAAATATATGTCCTATTTTTAATACTCCTTGAAGTATAATTCTATTGTTCTATGCCTTTACTCCTTTAAAAGCTCAAGGATATCAGAATTGCAACTAACCCCCTCCCCCCAAAAAAAATATATATTAAATATCATAAAAATGAACACTTTGCTCTTGAAATAATTAATTGACACAACACAATGAGAAGGAAAAATGAGATGTCATTAGTGCAGTAATGTCAGAAATAAGTTCGGAAAGCATTTATTCTGTGTTCTGATCTAGATTCAATTTCCTGATAAAATCACTTTATTTTATTTTTAGTTTTCTGGTGCTTAATGTGTTCCTAATGATATCTTCCTGAAATAAAAGTTGTTTATGCTATTAGGGTGACCCCAAATACTATAAACTTGAGGTAAGTGATTCTTGGAATTGCCTTAACAACAGGCAGCCACCCTAATGATTCCAGGAAGCAGCACACAAGCTCCATTATTAATATACAACATAATACGATACAGCATTCATCTAGCCACTGCACAGCGAAAGCTGACATTGTCCTTAATATGGCAGTGGTTCTATTAATTTATTTTTGAACTCCCAAAAAGCACTTTGCAAAAATAGCAATATCCAAGCTGTCAATCAGAACATTTGTTCCAAGGTAAATTCACCATTTCTGATTAAATATCACTAATGCAACCATCTTTTTATCTTCCGTAGGTGCTTCCAGTGATGTCAGCCATCTCCATCATCCAATGCACCCACATTTGTCTCAGGATCCATTAACTGGACAAACCATACTTTTGGGCCCCATGTCAACTCTGGTTCATACAGACCAAATCTGTAAGTATCTGGGCAACTTGTCAACCATATTATGTCTGAAACTTAATTACCTGAGAAAAAGAGTGAATCTGGGGAAAGAATCTGCTAATACCCAGAAATTGCAAGATTTGGGTGTAATCTTCTCTCCAGGGCTCCCCTGTGGGAGGCTGTGACATGTAGCAAGTCACTTACTCTCTGTAGGCATGAGTTTGCTCCCTGAGATGGAGATATGAGTGCCTAAGTCTTTCCACTTCGTAGATTTGAAAGTAGAAAAGAAGGTACAGGCAGACCCTAGCTTTGCTGGTCTGCAGGCTCATAGAAATGACTGTGCAGGCTGGATCCATGCCGAGAAAACTGAATAATCACTGGAAAATTATGGTTGCATCTGACCTTTAAAAATGTTTGTCATATCATGGTATATGTCAATTATGCCTCACTAAAAAAGAGGAAATACTTGTCAAGACATTAAGAAGCCTCTTAACTAAAATGTTCTAGAAATATAGGGAATTTTGAAAAACTACATAAAATAAATTAGAAAAAAATACAGGGAAATTGAAAAATATAATCCTCATCTTGATTTTGCGCACCATAACTTAAAACATTAGAAACACCTAGAAGTCAGATGCTTTATGTCTTTGTAAAACAACAACAACAAAAAATTAAGAAGCATAGTTTGAACAGTGTTTTTGCTTTCTCCTCTTCACTGTTAAGAGGAAGTGAGGATCTTTGCTTTGCTTTGATGAATGTTACTCTTTGGAAGTTTGGATCAGCTTCCAACATTTTATCCTTTGCATTTGCTTTATTTCTCATTTTCTTTATTTTTTAATTACAGTTTGCATTTAATATCATTTTGTATTAGTTTCAGGTGTACAGCATGGAGGTTAGACAATAATGCTTTATGAAGTGTTCCCCCTAATATTTCCAGTAATCACCTGGTACCACACATAGTTATTACAATGCTATTGACTGTCTTGCCTATGCTGTATCCTTTGAATTTTCAATGTCCCAAAATATCTCTGAGAATCCATTGAATGTGAAGGTTTTTGCCAGTTTCATTTCCTCTGGGGCCCCTTTGTCCTTTACAACGCAACCAGTCACCTCACTTGTGCTGAACACTGACAGGTGTCCTTCACTACGGTCCCGGCAGCATACTGAGGTTGTCAAACAGCAGTCATTGTCCCCATTCCCCCGCTCAGCTATCTTCTGGAACTCCACCCATGCTCGACTTGAGTTTTGATTCCAGGATCATCACTTTTTGTTTCTTTGCTGCACTTTAATTGTTTCCATCCAATTCTCTTTCAGTTGTCTGTTTTTGCAAAATGTCATGTGGATTTAGCACTGGGAGACAAGGAGGCAGCTCAAGTACACACTTTGTTGTCAGTGTGTGAATTGAATAAAATATGTTCCAATATTTATGAAATACGGACAGAATGAAAGATGTGATGCGAAAGGTCACTGATCATAAGACATCTGTTACTTAGGCAATTGTTTGAGACTGAAGCGTTAGCAGTGCAGTTCTGTTTGTGCAGTACTCACAGTTATGTTCGAGTGACCATGCTGTCGTTAACTGTGATGACTGAGATGCATGCATATCAGAATTGTCCACAGTGCGGGCTGCCTGGGAAAACTCTTTGAAACTAAAATGATTGTATAAATACTAGGGATTGTGAGTGGCAAAGTTAATCTGATGTGATTGTAGATTTAGCACAAATTCTATTTCTGTAAGATATCCTGGAGATAATAATCTCTATTGGACCAAATGTCAAGAATTAATTACCACTGAATTGGTACTAATTAATCCCAGATTTACCTTTGACCTATCGCCTCTGAACACTAAGCGGGCTACCTCACTGAGTGACAGTGATGTAACTATTGTGCATACCTGTATCACCTGCTGCCCTGACAGCCATGGATAACTAGCTGCAGTGTTGTTTCACCTAAACGTTCAATGTAATGTAATGATGGTGAGGACCACCTGACTGCTAGTGCAGGAAAGCAGAGGCCACAGAAATGCATGTGGTCACGTCTCCCCTTTGGTCACCGGCATGGGTAGACCTATGTGTCAGTGTGTCTGAAACACAAAGTTTCTGAGTGTATGACAGGGGTGGAAATGACAGAACAAAATTCAAATCTCAGAGACAGTGTGGCACGTTGAACTAGTGGGTCTCAGTCTACTTGAAATACATTATTTGGGAACCATTCTGGCAAAGCAGATGTCACCGTTTTCATGCAATAGTTGTGAAGAGCAGGGGCGAGCCTAATATCACACCATACTACTGTGGAGTTGTCTCTTCCAGCTCAGTTATTCATAAACTCAGGGGACAAAAAACATTGACCACACATTCCATGTTACAGGCATCAGCTGGCAGGAACAATTCTGCTGGCGGTTAAACCCTTTACTTGTTAAATGCCAGGTTTCTGGTACTTTAAAAGCATGTTTGCTGACCCTGAGCTTTTCTAATTTCATCATCATGCTTTTTCATTTTTTTCTCTCTTTCAACATAGTATTTATAAGAGGCATTTGTAAAGGAAAGCTTTGCAATTTCGCTCATTTACAATAGCTTATTTTATTTCTCCAAAACAAAGCAAAAAACACATGCACACACAAAAAAATTTAAGTTTGTGCATCTTTTCTTGGTCTTCTAGAGCAGGCCTCTGCATTTTCAGATCCTAGATATCCTGAAATAATTTTTTAAAGCAATGTGTTCGTTATTTTGTCAATTAAATGATCTCAAACTGTTGTTCCTATGTCACTGCTAATCTACAAGTTATTATAGTGAAGAAAATCAAGAAAAAAGGGACTGTCCTAATTTTTTTATAGAATATTTTCTAGAATTAAAAAAAAAACAAAACCACTGGAGATATAAAAATAACTATAAAGTTTGCAATGTTTAAGCCTGATCACCAAATATTTTCTACTCTGTAAATATATGAAATAATAATAAATGGGAGTACCAGAATAAATGAAGTTTTTAAAAATTATAGACTAGCTCTTACAGGATTTTATAACATGGTAAAAAATTTGCGGTAGGAGAAAACACGATTCTAAACAGTGAAATATTCAAACAGTAACTTTTTCCCAATGAAGAGGTTTGCTCTTTGCATTGACAGGGAAGTGACAGACGAGCACAGTTATAAGAGAATCATTTTGACATGATGAAGCCAGGGTTTTTCAGATGCCTTTAACTATAACAAATATTTCAAAGCCTTTGAAAAGTACCTTACCTTCATTTTAAAAATTTCATCTAATATGCTTGAGTTAGTGGAATCCAAACCAAATGTATTTTATTTTTTTGTGCATATTTTGTTGCAAAATATATAAAACTTGTGATCTAAGATTTATAACTACCATTCTGTTCATTCTTTTCATTAACTCTTTTCTGCTGGGTATGTGAGAGAATCAAATGCTTGCAAATGCTATTAAGAAAGAAAGACAACACTTTAAAAGGACTGTTAAGGTTTTCAAGAATGATCTAGTCCAGTATAAATCTATTTGGCAAGGTAAAGTAGGGGTGCATCTCCAGTGGTATGTCAGTGAGCTGATAATGTGTTATATAAACTACTACTTTATATATGATATGTGAAAAGTGAATCCAAAGTAAAATAATGTGTTTTGGTATCATGCAGGATGTAATGGGATGACGGGTCAGGGTGACTGTCGCCATCACATACAACTCTCTGATTCTTTTTTAGCAACTCCTGAAACCCCACTCCCTTCCCCACCACAAGGCTCTGGACAAGAACAATACAAAATGGCTGCAAATCAAGCTTCAGTCATTTCACACCAGTCTCTCTCCAAACAAAAGCAATTGTGAGGATGCATTCACTCCTGAACAGCACTGCATAAATGTGAAAAATTACTGGTCTTGAAATATCTCAGGATAATGCGCTTGGCAAACTCTTAGCCAAGGCTCCTTCATGGTGCTGTTGTAAGACGGTAACCTGTTTTCTTGTTTTTATATTCATTTTATTTGTTGTTGCTGTTGTCTGAAATGTTCAGTTGAAACCACTGTATATCTGAATTTCGATATGTTTGTACCACATGGTTTTTCCAGCTCCCCCTGCACCGTGCCTTGAGCAGTTGAATCGTATGTACTACTTCCATCTGTTGCCTTAATATTAATTTAAATCTGTAAATAATTGCTTCAGTGTGATGTTATGCAGAACTCAGTGTTCTTTTTTGACTGAGAATATTAGATCAGAAATCCCAGATTAATATACAATGAACCAAGTTTGTAATAAATGTCAAAGTTGCAAATTAGCAAAAATATAAAGCAGTTGCTGTAGAATAGGGTGTCGATCTTTGAAGAACAATCCCTTACACGTACCCTGTGGCTAAGAAGTGTCTTTTTGGCCCACAGTTAAATATGCCTATTTAAAGTTTAGAAAAATAAAAGTAGCCATTCCACGGATGACTGTATATTCTTTCAAATCTAACTGTATTTGAAGATGTATGTTGAGATAAAAGGTGTTAAGTTTAGCAGGTATGTTACAGGCTAAACTTTAAAAAAGTTCCTAAATCAATGGATCAACCAACAGAGGTGTTTATTTCTCTATCCTAAAACTATCAGGAAGTCACCATCCGTTGCCTAGAACTTGGCACATGCCCACGTCTAATTCCCATGGAGGCTGGGATAGTAGAAAGACAGCCGTGTCCAACCAAAACTATAACTCTGGGAGGCTAATATAGCCATTCGTCTATCACACATGGGTTACCTCATTTAATCTGCACAACATCCCTGTAAGAGAGTTATTATTATCTTTCTATTATAAATAAAGAAACCTTTAGCCTAGAGGATGTAAGTAATGTAACCAAGTTCATCGAGTTAAAGAGTCCGAGAGCCACACCTAAGCCCAGGTCTGGTTGCCTTTCACGAGACTCAACATGTATCTTCTGTGTGGGACGAAGCATGTGAGCTTCTCGCTGTGGTTTTTAAATACATGCAGTTGACTGCTGATTGAACACCCTCCGTCATGTCACCTAGAACACATATTTACGTGAAAACAGTGTGTGTCAAGTTGTTGCAGGAGGGTAAGAAACCACTTTTGTACTTTGACTAAGAATCCTACCCCTAAAATAATCTTTTAAACAAATCAAAAGAAATAGAAGATACAACAGATAGATAACAGATAGGTTATCCTGAAAACAAAAACAAATTCCCTAATTTATCAGGTGGTCAGAAATCCAGCAACCGAGGGACATACTGAATGCCTGATTCTAGACTGAGGAGTAGTTTATTGGAGCCCTAAATTATTTCATAGTATCTAAAGCTGGAGCTTATTTAAAATCAATGATATGTTGTCTTGTGACCCAGTGATCCTGTGACCCCTCTCCCACTGTCTCCCTCTGTCTCTCTCTTGCTGAAGCAGGGAAGAGCTATTTGAGTATTTGTCAATGATATGAAGAAGTATCCAATGCTGTAGGAGACTAATTTGCATGATACTTTCAGGACTTTTCAAAATTTCTAAGCTTATGATCTAATAACCCCTCCTTACCCTACAAATAAAAAAAGGTTCAGTAAATGTAACTAACTTATTGGCTCTTAAAGTGAAATTGAACTCTTGAAATAAAGAATAATTACTTAAAAGCTATCATTGATTAAATAGAATCAGTAAATTCTTTTAAGAGCTGGTACCTTTGTGTAACTGTGAAATCTTTGAGAAAGAAAGAAGGAAAGTTATTTAACTTACATTTTTTGAAAATATACTTTAGTGCCTCTATGTCATGAAAAGAATGTCTTTAGTTTTTATAAATACAAATATTGTTTGTAGGTTTCTGCTTACTTTTTTGACTTGTTCTCTTAGAAGATATAAACACTTTAAAATGTAAAACAAATTCATATCAGTAAGCTCCTTAACTTATCTGCATATATTTACTAAACAGTTATGTTTTACAAATTATTACCAACAATTTTGTTTTAGTAACTGTGGTCAGGGAATTTGTAATATATTTTTGTATACTTAACTGCCAACAATGCTGAATAAGAGGAACTGTTTTCAAAATATTGATAAAGTTATTGCTTTTATATAGCACAAAACTTTTTTCATGTAATAAAACTGAATAATTTATTGTGAAATAATGATTCATTTTATAAATGTAAGATTATTTTTATAAATTTTATTGCTGAGAATCAAAAATGACTAGATTTTTTTAAATAATGTTAAATTATAGTGAGATTAAAATATTTCTAAACTGTGATACCATGTTTCACTGAGCTTTCTAAATAAAAGTTGAGATGAAAAACTGAAGTGGCGTGCTTCATTATTGTTCAAAAATGACTTTATAATTGTAGAGATAATGCTAATATCTTTTGTGTAGACATTTAGTTAAATGTACATAGAGTTTGATAATACTGGTGTTTAGAGGACAGAGCCAAATTAATTAGCACATTTCCAAATAATCGTAGAATTAGACACTGATTGAGGGGACAATCCTCCCATTTGTGTGTTACTTATGTAGTTCTACTCGCTTTATAATTTTGTCACAGTAAGGAAAATATATGACCCTGGCTGGCTTCAACATAGTATAGGTGTACTTCGCATATGGATATTTTCACTTCTGTTATTCTCTGTTCATCTTTAAAGCTTCCTTGTAAAGTTTCTTAAATTATGAGGACCAGTCATTTTTATAAAATTTTACTAATTTTTTTTTATTTCTTTTATCAGGATCATATGTGTACATTATTTAAAAGCACAATTGTGCTTGAAGTATATAGTGGAGAGCTGAGGTCCTGCACCCTCCATTCCCTTCCTCCCCACGGCTGCCCGTCAGCGACAACACTCAAATAGTGCAGCTGCTCTGTATGGTATTTTTCTCCATAGTTTGAAAATATATGTTTATATCTCATTTTTCAACATTTTTTTTTTTTTAGTTTTTGTCCTTATCTGTATACTCAACTCCCACCACATCCTCACAATTCCTTAATAAATCAATATTTTTACTTACTTAGAAGTTGCTATTTAAATAATTGAAGAGTTTGCCGCTTGGTGGCTCGAGCCCAGGATGAAAGCTGGCCCTTGCCACCATGCCTGCCACCGAGACGGCAGAGGTCCTGCTGATGCGAGGAAACTCTAGGGTAGATTCTAGGAGAATGAAATAATTATTTGTTATGGCCTCAAGTCCAGTTTCATGGGTGAGCCATCCAGTCTGTGCCACTTACCTTTCTTTTCATTTTCCCCCAGAAAAGCAGCTCACCAGAGTCAGGGAGAAATTGCTACCTAAATTATTAGGAAGATAAGCATCTGAGGGGGAGGCACAAGACTTGTATTGTAGTCAATGCTCCAGATCACAGGACTTACTCTACCCATTGCTAGAACGCAGCTGGCAGACATATCAGGGAATTGCCCTCATTTGAAAGCCACCTACCTCACCCATCGGCAAGCCGCTTTCTGGATGTAGCCTACATCCAAGGATTGGTTGATGCAGTAGCATAGAGGCTTGGCCGTCTTCCCCCAACTCAGGACAGGCAGAAGAGCCATCCCACCTTCAGAGCTCAGTGTGGGACTGGCTGAGGCCTCTGTTGAGTCTGCATCACAGCTTAACTTCTTTCTCCACCAAAGTTTGCCTGAATGTCCCACACGATAATCTCAGAGTCTGATTACTTAGGGAGCCTAACCTGAAACAACCCGTAAAATTTATTTATATTTATATACTATCATAGGCAATTATAAACAAATTAATCAACCATATAGATTACAATATCAAGAAATATTAAATATGTAAAAATCAGATTTATGAAGCATAGACCACAATGACATCAGAAGTCAAATGTATAAAATGATCTAATGAAAATATTTGAAATGCTGAAGATAGAAAACATTTCTGAGAGTTTATTTTCAGATAAATCAAGGCATTGAAGACTGAAGGGTTAGGAGAAAAAGGAGGCATTGAATGTGTTGATGGAGTTGAATTGCGGACCTATGGAAATAAGTGACTACATAAAAAAGCTGGCCAGATCTGATTTTTAGTTAGAAAGTGTTATTGTAGTTAGGGATTTTGTAATGGAAGAGACCAGTTGACAAATTTCTAGCTTCCCCTTTTCCACAGGCTATTTCTTTCGGTGGGCGTTTTCTGCGAGCTCCTAGCGAGCTCCTACTTGAGTTAACGTACCACCTTCACCCGTCCATGGGCACTTTTACAACCTTCTCAGGTAACACTAAGGACTTCCTCATATGTCTCACTGTTGGTTGTATGTGCTTTGTACAGAATTTACTTATTTATTATTGCTTATTGCCAATTAGAGGGAACCCCAGGAGAGCAGGTACCACATTGGTACATTTTTGAATTGCCAAGATTCAACAAATTCTAGCAATTAACAGGTGATCAATAGTGATTTCTCAATTAGGCAAGATATTAGACATAACGATGAATTATGTTTTTGTTATTGAAGCTCAAGAAGGAAGGTAATGTGCTGAAGATTAAAATATATTTACTTATTTGATGGATTATTTTTAGATAATGATAACTATTTTAACAAGACCGTTTGTTGTATTTAAAAAATAAAAATAGTAAGACAATTATTTTTAGTAAGGAAAATATTATTATTTAATCCCTACCTACATTATTAACTTTTTCTCATAGATGTTTTTAAGATGGCTTATTTTTCATATTTTGAAGCATAAACTTTGTTAAAAATATACTTTGCAGCACAAATCGTATTATATATTTTATGGCATAAGCAACATAAACACATAAAGGGTTTTTATATTAGGCCTTTGTGTTCATTTAATTTGAATGTGATTCCCTCCAGTCATTCTCATATTTGACAATAAGTCAGAGTCAGGTTAGCAGATATAATTACAATATTGCCTGTTTGTTATCTTTTAAGCTATGAAATAATGTGGATTTAATACACTGATAATTTAGAAAGAATAGTAAAGCCCATTCCCTCTGAGATAATGACAGTAAAATACAGAAATAAAAGTATGTTATATTATTGATTATTTATAAGTCATCGGTGCCCTTGTACTGTATAATAATTCAGTTTAAATATAATTTAAAGATCTAATGAGCAGTTATCTGGTG